ACTTGTACTCAACAAATGTAGTTGAGACGGAATGTGTTAAAGCAGGGGCATTGAGGGATACTATAAACTGGTTAACAATGGCGAATGCATAGTTTTTCTTGTGTTGTGAGATGAATTCCAGCCATTTTTTCTTAATTGTCGGGTTTCCAACTGAAAACTAATTTCCACACTTCACAAATTTAACTCAAACAACTTCATTTTTACTGCACTGAAACTTTGGTGAGAAGATTGAGTTTCAAAACTCAATTCAAGATTGAGTTTTTCCCTAAAAAATCCCGGAAAAAAAGCCTGATATAAGACTTTGGAGAAAAGTCATTGTTAGTTTTTCCAGTTACGGTAGGTCTGGCAAGTGCCACCACTACTATAACACCACTATTCTTGTTATTTGAACATTCCAAAGAACTTGTCCACATGACTTACATCCCGGATCACCCTAAATGAGAAATGTCAATTATATTTATAAAATAGTGACAGCTATTATTATATTAGAACACACTTTGAAGAAATAGTGATCAAGTCACATATACCAGGCTCCAAAGTAAAATTACAGGGAAATTTACTGTAGAGTAGACATTATTTATATGTTAACCCATTCAGCACGTACCACTGTGCTCTCTTGTTGACAAGTAAAATTGTTGGCGTTAGACAAAGTAACACGAACATATACAGTAGGGTGCAATGCAACTGAACCCATTGAGGTGCAGCACTCTCAACTTGACAAGTAAAATTGTCTGGCATTGGACGGAGTAAAATATTGTAGTGGGGTGCATTGCCACTTAAAAGATTAAAAATGGGTTCATTACGGATGAAATAAATTGATCCAAGCATTTTTCACATATGAGTTCTGGCATTTATAAGCCCAGCTACCTTGCAACCAACTTTACAGCATGCAACCAACTTTAAAGCATACAGCAGTTAATTGCACCCAAGCTTATTATTGCTAATGCCTGACAATTTTACTTGTCAAGGGGACAGTCTTGTCAATTAATTGTATTTCTTAACTCCCCAAAGTTTCATTTTACATTTAATTACAATATATCACAAATGATCTAAGTGAGAAGGTTCACAACAATCACAAATAATATATCCAACTGAAATTTGAGCTCTACTCCAATACTGGGGACACCACCACTGAAACTGCTCTCAAACATATCATCAATCAAATTATTTAGGTTAATTGTCAGAGCATAAGGTTGGCCGGTCAATGCCAAGGTGACTGGCACACATATTGTGCACCTTTCATTCCTATATTATCTCTAATGACTGTGGGCCGGATTTATAGACAAACGATATGTTGGGCGAGATATTGTAAACCGGCCTCTGAATGTAAGCCAGCTAGCCCTGGGCTTGTATTCTAATATGTATGGCTAAAGCTGCATTTAATAAATATACCTGGAGCCAATTGTATCAAGCCTGTTTAGCTTAAACGTTGGTTAAGCTCAAAATAGAAAGCAACTCAGACTCTATAGATTCATTCAACAACAAACTAGAAGTTTTGAACCTTAATAGAATGATGTTTACAACTACATATTCAGTGCAGAATATTTAAGTTGACTGATTCATGAGAAATTAAGCTAAACGGGCTTGATACAACCGGCCCCTGTCAAATAATATAAGCCCATGGGCTTGTACACACAGGCCTGGCTTACATTAGAGGGGGGAGGGGCTTATATTCGGAATAGCCTGAGTAAATATGATGGGATTATACACAGGGGGGCTTATATTGGGGGGAGGGGGGGGGCTTATATGTTTATGGTAATGGACTAATTGCTTGATTGCAATGGGTATTGAAATTATGGTTTGAACCTGATGTCTTTGGCCTAGCCGCCTAGCTCGCAAAGTATTTGTTCACTTGTCTACATGTCATGTAAGTGAGATTTCATATAACTACACAGTAATTATAAACAACTGCTGGCAAGGATATCACTCAAAGTTTGTCAAGGAAAATTTAATATACTAAAATACTAAATAAATACAAGTGTGCAGACACTACTGCAAGGACTTTGAAATCATATTAACCAGCCATGAAACCCTACGCAAATATCACTATAGCAGTAGTAGTACCAAATCAAAAGAACAACAAAATGTACAGAATTGCCAACCATTTACAGGTTGTTATGTCTGCTAATAATTTGCTGTTCATATACTTTTATGTTCGTAGTATTATAAACTTTGTAGTTTGTACTTCTGCTTCAAATTTTCTACAATATATAAAAATTTTACCGGTGAATAAAAAGATTCTTCTTGTACATCTCATACATCTACGAGCGGCGCAAAAAGGCAGGATCCTCGACATTGTAAATCAACCAAGTTATAGGAGAAAAATATCAAGATTTTCAGTGCGATTTTTACCTCAAAAACAAACGAAATCATAAAATATCTGTGCTGAAACCAGGGGGGTGAAGTACATTGTCGAAAACTTAGGATCGCGGTTGGGACAGTGGTAGTTGCCATGAATTTAGGGACCAGTAGTCATGGCAATGGCGTCAGATCCGCCATGTTTTTGGCTTCACTTTTTTTTCCCGAGCAGGTCCTCCAGTAATATAGTATAGCTCAGTAGTCTCTCGTCGCACCGCGCGTAAGAAGGGTTCTGGGTACGAGAATGGGAAAAATGACAATGCGTCCTTAAGGCCCTGTTACACGGTGCAATTTTTCATGCAACTTGTCTCGCAATGGCGTTGCGAGACAAGTTTCACGAGTCATTGCACCATTTAACATGCCTTGCAATGGTCAAAATCGTTGCGAGACAAGTTGCATGAAGCATTGCACAGAGCAGAAGTCGGTTCTACTTTTGGCAACGATTGCACTAATTATTTTTAGCATTGCAGCGTGTAACATGGCTTCGTGCAACTTGTCTCGCAAAGTTTATAGCTTGGAGATTTCCTATTGGCTCTCCCCAGTGTACGCTTTACTATAATTAATATTTGGCGCCAAATAACGCCTCTCCCTAGTCTCTTCGCATGCCTCTGTCCCTTATCGTTGCGAGTTGCATGACAATCATTGCAGCGTGTAACACCTCTTGCAATGCATTATCAAAATCTTTTTTTAAACATTGCGAGACAAGTTGCATGAAAAATTGCACCGTGTAACAGGGCCTTTATCAATGAGGAATTTATTTTAGAAATCTACAGCTACAGGAAGTTTTTTAAACAAGTGAGCGATGAAACTTTATTTTATATTGCGTTCGCAAGATTCGTCTCAGGATTTCAGTTTATACGAGCTTATTTACATGCAGTATGTTTGATTTTCACGATGCAAAAGATCGACAACATTTTGAATAATTCTGGTAAGGACATTTATTTCTTTCAGAAGATGAAGGCATTTATATTTAGATCTGCTGTTTACTTGTTTTATGTTCAACAGTTGTTATACAAGATCGGCCAGGCGCTAACCAGAACGTTCATATCCCATTCCCCTTTGCGCGCCTAGCAGAATAATTTATTGGGCTCACTTTTTTCGACTTTGCCTTGTAACCAAGCCTGATATTATTCTGCGCCGCATAAGCTAACGGCCAGCTCGGTAAAAGCTAGTGCAAACAAAAGTTTGTATATCTAACTATAGTCACTATATAGCTGGCAGTTTTCCAAATACCCGGCTTGCCGGCCGTCTACTTTGTAATTTCAAACGCTAAATATCTATAACCTGTCCTGAAGACGTACGGCTGGCACAAAATATCTTTAAAACTAGTTCAAAAATCAAAACTCTCTCCACAGCATAAAGAGGTCCTTTTTTCGCGTTTAGTTTCAGTTTTAGAAAATCGGCAGTCGAAAGAGCATCCAAATTCTTATAATATCCTTTAATTTCGCATTAAGTTCCTTTTCTTCTGGCGGCCATATTGTGAATGAGTTTACGAGGTACTTCATCTTACAACGCCATATTGACGCTTGCATGCGTTTGCGAGATGAACCGCTTGCCGTCGCCGATTTCTGGCCTTTTCTTTTGTACATTGTTTATTTCAAGGAGTTAATTTAACTCCAACTCAGTCGAGTTATTTTGAATAAATTAGCTACAAATGTCGGAATTAAATGCCACCGGAATAAAATTAGCTCCCTGAACTTAACAGTGTACATACGCTTAACTTGTTCACTTTCAAGAATACTAATTTGAATTTCTAGGATATATCAGCATTATTCAGCATTTTGCTCTTTGAGATTCTATTTCAAATTATTTAGCAGGATATAGAAATGTTATCGAGACGCAGATCAATCGGATCACAATAACGTAACTTTTGTGATGTACGTACTGTATATATGATTATATGAATTTTGTTTTCTTAACATTTAGAGCAAGGCCGTTAGTGATGATCTAATGAGAGATTTCTTCCAAGTTAATGTTCAGTTTTGTTCGATTTCTTTAGTATTCCTTCCGCTACGGTAGCTTGCAGTATCATCTGCAAACATACTTATTGAACTTTGGGTTATGTAATAAGGAAAAGTAGAGGTCCTAGGACAGACCTTTGAGAACTCCAGTGTTAACTGTTTGAACTGATGATAGGTCTCCGTTATAAAAAAGAACCCCGTTGTTGGCGGTCATTTAAGTATGAGATACATTGCATGATATATTTTAATTAAACTCACTATTGTGAATCAAATGTGAATGTAATCAACTAAATATTTTGTTTCAATGCTCAGAAGAAAAAAGAAAGCATGCAATCTTTATTTGTACTTTGTATTGCATATTCAAGGATTACATTGCAATTTATTCCATGTTTTTATTTTGTCCAATAACAAGCAATAAAAATACCCGAATGTCTTTCAAGATGGTTGGCATCTTAAAACAAAAAATTAAAAATATTCTGAATAGGTATATATCGTAATACTAGGAGGGATATTAAAATGCAACTGGCCGGATTTTCATTGATGTTGATTTCAATGAATAGTAATATCCTTTCCAATGGTACCAGTTAACACCATCAGCAAACGACATGTGTGCGCCATCAAGATACAGACCATTCAAATTGGATTTATGACATCTCTTATACCACCAGGCACCTTTGTACTGCACAGCACAGTTGTTATACCATTGATCATTGTGGGAATCTTTAGTCGTGAACGCCATACCTTTGTGGTACGAGAGAGAATCACCTGCTGTACCTAAAATAATTGGAAAACGAACATTAATAAAAAATGCATTTTCAACTAGCTCTAAAAACAGGATCGATATGGGTTTCGTGAAGTATGCCAGGCATGGCTGTCTGTACAGTTTTTATTATAACTTAAACAATTCACAACTACTATAGATATGACCTATTGTACCATCTGAACAATTCTTTATGCTAGCTGGATATATACATAATATATATAAAATTAACTCATATCCCGCTAGCGAAGGATACACGACTAAAAAGCAACGTACAACTCTTTATATGTATATAATGGCTTAATTAGTGTTCATTTTACACGCACGCAAAACTTCATAATTAACTAATATGAATAATTGTAAACTTAGGAATTTGTGACAGAGATAATTAGAATAATGAATATCATGCCATTCAGAAAGAAATTTTAATAACTTAATTTATTATTAGCATGACAAAATTACTGGATGCCGATTGGTTGAGAGGAGTACAATTATTTCATTAATTGTACTGCAGTGTAATTAATGATTTTCCCAAAACAAACAAAATGGCGGAAATGTACTTTAAACACAAGCGTGAAATGAAATTGCCGTGGAGGAACTAGATGAAAGTACGAACACAAGCACCAAATTTTGCTAACAAAAGAACTAAATGAAAATACAAACAAAAGCACCAAATTTTGGTTGAAAATCTGGCAGGACTGGGCTTTGGCGAGAGAATATGATGCTGACATTGAGAAGTACGTATCCAATTTTGTCATGCTAATAATAAACAAGTAACCATGCGATGTTGCTCGTACAATTAGGGATTAATAGTATTCGTGATGTTTGGAAATTTGCCAAATTGGACTCGCCCCGGCAGCTCGTCCAATTTTGGCAAAATTTCCAAACATCACGCGTACTATTAATCCCTAATTGTACGCCATCGCATGATTACCTATACTAATTGAAATTTATTTAATGAGCCTGCAGACCCAATATATCTAATTTCCCATCAATTATCCGGCCATTGACATGTTTTTCAAAACTGATCAAGTGATGGATGCTTTGGTAATAACAGTGGATCCTTGTTACTTTGATTTACTTTGATGAATTATTAAATGCTGCATATATTATGTTATGTCAGGCCTTAATTTGATACATCAAGGTTTCTATTTGCCAACCTCGTTCCCAGGGCATTTTGCTTCCGATCAGCGAAAATGGTCCTGGCATTGGCCGGTCACATGACCTCAAAATCTCCAGTATTTGGGGTGTTCAATTACTGTATGATAATTTATGCGTATACGTACGTATATAGAATAGTTACATACATTTTAATTACTCAAGTAAACACACTTAAAAGAAATAAGCAGCAAAATAAGTGGACTTTATTCCATTTTCGTTGTTTACACTTTCGTTGTTTACATTCAGCATGACATAGCCCGTAATACTGATGATTTTTGTGAAACATATTCAGGACCTGGTTAGCCTGTGATTAACTATTCAGTAATGAACAACCAACCCCTTCAGCCTTTGCTTTATATAAATCGTGTTATGGCCAGAGCAAATATATATTCGTATCACAATCTTTGTTTGAGTAGAACGCTGTACGGTTCTTGAAATCAATTAACGATTTATAAACGACGCATATGAGAAATGTATGTTGAACAGAAGCAAATACTCGTATACAAAATGTATAAAGACTTAATTTTGACCACTGCACAGTTTTGTGATGTATTGTTCTCCCCTATCTCAAGCGAAATGTCAAAAATCTTATTCACTCAATACCTTAGTCATTCAAGAACTAATAAAAATTTGTCACCGCACTCTCGTTCCATCAAAATAATAATTATTCCCACATATTAATATTTTGAAATTTGAATATTTACATTCAAAATCATTGACCAATCAGTGTGCAAAACAGACCAGCCGATGCGTTGGCCTTTTTCGCTGACCATCCAACAGCGGAAGCAAAAAGTCCTGGTTACGAGGTTGTCTATTTGCTGGTTCCTAAAGCTGAGTTCGTAATGCTGCTGGACCTGAACCTAGGACCTGCCAACTGTATTATTTTAATATTTATATACATGTTTATAAGAGAGAATGTTAAAGAGAAAAAATTAATTTAATGTCTTTTGGTTCTTAGAAATATTGGGAATTCGAATTTACATTTGTCTATATCCAGGAAAATCAGTAGCTGGGTTATACTTGCATGAACATGTACTATAATTAGAGTAACATGTACTATAATTACTAACATATATATATATATATATATATATATATATATATATATATATATATATATATATATATATATATATATATATATATATATATATATATATATAATATATATATATATATATATATATATATATACAATATCTACGCAAATACGCGCTTGGTAAAAACAAGGTATATGTATGGCCGTGAACTCGGCTAATTCATGAAATATTTACCATTATAAATTCCAATACTCAATTTATACTGCTGCTGTTCACTAGCGATGGCAAAAGAATCATATTCTGCATATGTTGTGTTTGCAGAAGTGTCTTCCATGTCGATGCGAAGTTTATTGTGTGAAGCACTTGTAATTCTATTGATCTTATCCAATCCGAGCCAGAATTCACCATTTAGGTCACCAAAGCCGTGCTTGTAATATTGCCATCCTCGGTAGAAACTAACACTTCCGTCAAGACGACGTTGAAACACAGTCCAGCCTCCTCCTGATGTTGTCATATCACAGAAGACATTGAAATTGCCTTTTCCGTCTGGATCAATTTGATAAACTCCACTTTCTGTTTTTCCATTTTTGTATATATCAGCACAGTCTTTATCATCTAGATAAAAGAAAATAATACTGAATTAATAGTTTTTCTCACACCATAGAATTTATTTGTTTGAAGAGATATTGATTGGTTTATTTCGCACTGACTGTCCTTAACCTTAATTAATAATATAGATGAAAATATTACTCGATTGTGATTTGTTGACTATTTCGGTGCAGTTAATCTCAAACAGCAATGTAATTTTTTGTAATCACAGCGCAATTTTTTGTAATCACAGTGCAATTTTGTGTAATCACTGTGCAATTTTCTGTTATCGTAGTGCAAAAATCTATAACAAACTGATCTGATTGGCGGAAAAACAATGTGTTAATAAAATCAACCAATGAGTTTAAAGCAGTTTATAGTTTAAAAAAGTAACGATCACAGAATTGCTTCAAAGCAAAACAAATATCAAAATATGGCGCCGCGCTGCATAAAGTGAAAGTTGACTTCGGTTGGGAAATATGGCTTTTATCCTTTTTAAATGGAAAAGCCTTTACTTTAAACAAGACTAACCTCTCTCCTCGGCAGAGGTTTACATGAAGTTTCTAGTGAGGGAAAAGTGAGCGCGCAAGGAGTGATGGGAAGAGCTAAATAAAGGAAGCCTCTGCGAGTTAATGCAATCAATATGGCGTATTGTATTGTATTGTGAACTTTATTTAGTCACGGTGGACTCATCAGGATTTTACACACTTATGATAAAGTAACAAAGGAAATTAGATATATGATAAATTATACTATACATATTTACAAAACTACCTGTTTTTCATGAGTGTCGTATATAATCGTTTGTAGCGAAGTTCGATCAACCATGGGGGGTGTTAAAACGTGTTTTCGACTTTCATTTTCAGGCATACTCGAGTATCCTGGGGTGAATTCAATATCAATATCTTCTTCTGTCCATTTTTATCGAAAATATTGAGAAATTGCAAACGAATATCAGTGGATACGAGCTATCTGATTAGCCTATAAATGACTCTATTGAACTTCGATACTCAGATTATGAAGAATCATTTCATCAATTTCTTTCATATTTCCGTCGATTTCAAGTTTAAAAAAAGGTTCAACAACTAGTTTAGTTCAAAAACCATACGTCGTCGCATTATCTGGCAGAGTCTCCCCAACTTCATTTCAATCTTCCCATCACACCGCGCGCGCTCACTTTCATTCAGGAAACTTCATGTAAGTTATTTGTAAATACTTAAGGAGGGTCTGCAGAGGAGAGAACAAGACTAACAAAATTTCTTACGTCCTAGTTGAGTGAAATTTTCAAGCTGTTAGCGTTGTGCATGTAATGTGATATAACAAAGCCAGGAAAACTTTGCCAGTGCACGGTTATAGCTATAAACGTAAGTTAAAACTACAATTGTCTCGAACATTTTTATGTATATTATTAATATACGTAATATAAGATGGTTTCTTGTGAAATTTGGATAAAACAAGCACTCGTGTGTTTTTCAAAGACCTCAAATAGCACACTTCCTTCGGACTAGTGCTTTTTGATGCTCTTTGAAAAACTCACTCATGCATGTTTTATCCAAATTGCACTTGAAACCATCCTATAACGTAGACTAATTAACTACAAAATCCTCCAAAATTAGTTCAATCTAGTAAAATATGCCCCAAATTCAAATTTTAACTACCTTCTTATACACGGCATCTGATTTTTTAAGATTTAAAAATCGCCACAAACCTCTCTGTTCGTGGAATGGAATTAATTTCGACGGAGCAGTTATCCTTGCAATTGCGCAAATTACAAACTAAACTTCCATATCTAATTCTCGGCTAAATAACGCAATACGCGTCTAAACAAGAAAGATAGAATGCTCTTCAGTTCTGTCATGACGTCCAACAATTATAATCTTTAAAATAGTTGTTATTTTGTTTACTCTGGACAATAGCGTATAGGCTAGCAACGATCGATATATAGTTTACATTACACGATAATATTTTAAAAAAGGTTTATAAATTTAAATCTTACCCACCCTGACATTATCTAAAATTGCTCAGGTTTGTTACGCAAGCTATTAAGACGTCATTGCATAATAACTAGCGCATCGCCACTTCGCAAACTATTGATGCGGCCTCTCACTCTTTCTCACTGTCATGAATATTAATTACTCCTTCTGAAAAATCCGGATTGCAAACTGCAGATCTTTTATGATCAAAACTATGTTTCCCTCATACAGTAAACCGTGGCATTGTTGTTAAATAAAAAGTTAGAAACGCGGTATTATACTTAGTAATAAAATTTGAGTACCCAAAACGGCCAAAAGATAATAATGTTTGGAACTTCGTATCGAAGTGTCTTGGATCATATATAGTCCTAATTTTTCTGCCGTCGCCAAATTTACTTCTCCAGTCTATATATGCCACATGGTATTGTCTACCGCCACCCCATATGAATATAATAAGACGCCAGGAAAAATTAAGGAGAAAACAAGAAGGTAATTAAGTAACATCTCTGCCATAAGCTGCCATAGACCGAAAGTGTTGTGACGTAATGACGTGATGCTGCTTCCCGCTAATGACATGAGAGAATTTGAATTAATCATGTGATACAAGATTGCGAACGCTGATTTCTCATAGAATGATGACACACCTACCATTTTACTTTCTCCTTAATTTTTCCTCTCGGCTTAGCCTGTTATACTTGCTTCTGGTTGGTGGTGGGGGGGGCAATGCCGTGTGGCATGTAGATTTGATAAATATGGCGACGGCATATAAAGTAGATGTGGAAATTGTTTCGAAGAATATTAGGAGTATTTATTAACTAATTGTGATCTTTTGAACACTCAAATATTGATGAGTAAGTATAATACCAATTCAAACATTTTTAACAACAATGTACCTATCCTATTGCCCATATGGTTGTACCTTTCTTTGGCGGTTTGTTGCTTTGCATGCAAGAAATATTCTTCAATGCATCCTGAATCAACTCTTCCAAAACTTTCCCAAAATCTTTCTTAGAATCTTCTTGAAATTTCTTGATTTCTTTAACTTCCTCTGCAATGTTGGTCATTTTATTTTTCATTTTCAATATGGAGTTTTTCAGTGAAGGCTCCAATTGACATGTTGGTGAATTTGTTTGGCCTGTGTTGCTTGTTGTGCTCGTACCTTCGTCAAATGCTGAACATTTTACTCTAGGTGAAAATATTCACATTAAGGTGGTTCGATGTAGTAATCCTCACGTGCACAATTGTGGACACTTGTGCAAAACCATGGGCGTACCGGAAGGAAAAAATTAGGGGGGCGGAAAGAAATTTGCCCGACTTTTCGGGATTCTGCCCGACTTGTAGCCCCCCCCCGTCGCCAAAAAAATTTCGGTTAGTGTACCATTTTAGGGGTCAAAAAATGTTTCCAGACATACCAAAATTTTTCGGAATATCACACAAATTTTACTGAATTTCACTGAATTGACACAATTTGTCCAATTTATTTTTTGTTACATACCAAAATTGCCCGACTGTTGATCGAATATTGCCCGACTGCCCAAAAAACTGGGGGTGGGGGCTACCGTCCCCCCCCCCGCCACCCGCCCGGTACGCCTATGTGCAAAACTCCTAACAAAAAGCTACACGCATATTCCGCATATTCCGCAGCGGGGAGATATTTATTTAGAGAAACGCCATTCGAAGTCAATGTCAGTAGGTTGTCCACAATGGTTTGGGTGAGACTATTGCACGGTACCTGTACAAGAATCGCGAAAACAAAAAAATTATCCTATATAACAACCCAGCTTGATCATTCATTTCTGTGCGACTATCAACTAAAAAACTATGAAGATGACCTGACTGACGTGTTGAGTTTGTCACGTCATCTGGCGCCATACATTGTGTGGCAAAACAATTATTAGACGCTGTCGTGCCAACTGGCGGCGCGGCCAACAATTCAAACCCAAATGTGCGCGAAAATAGAATAAATGTACTTGAAACATTAATAGGCAAACTTCGTTTAATCGTTTTTATACGTTTCTGATGTCTTGAAATGTATAATAAAAGTTATAAAACAATTATTGGATTCGGCTTTCCATGACATCAATCAATAATTATTCAGACCTCGGTCACTATGTTATCCCCCTCAACTTCAGATAACATTGACCTCAGGCTCAGTACGTCTGAATAATTCTTGATATTATTCTCAGCCTCATCAAATAATTGTTTATTATTTCCCTTAGGAGCAGACATTAAGTTTATAATATTGATATAGTTTAATGTACCGTAGAACTAATTTGATAACCAAATGTCTACATGGAAGAGAACATGTCACTTTGACTTTTTCTGTATACTGCAAAATGGACATCGCGGTTACGTTTAAATCTAGACCAGTCATTCAAGCAACCAATCAAGAAAATTCTTTCATATTTATATCAGTTTGATATCAAAATTGAAGAGATGCACGTTCAGTCGGACATAGGACAAAACATGGACTGGACTTAAGGATTCGTGCACTCAAACTTGGCATTTGACTGAAATTTTTTAAAACGTAAAACCGGGCTTGATTTCATTATGAAAATTTTTAAACATTATTCATATTGTCGTAGCAGTGGAGAGTGAAGATACAGAACCAATTCTAAGGCGTTTCCGTGGTTTTCCTGTCTCCTAGCAAAAGAATATAATATTTTGATCAACTCAGCTGCTAGAAAAACTACAATCCTGGAAAAAATAGTAGACTTCTTAATTTTCAAACATTGTTCCTCCGCCCTCCCCCCCCCCCCCAACACCTTATACAATGTTGCTATTTAGGTGACATGTGTTGCAAAATCCACTTTACTTGAACCAACATTGTTTTGGACTGGGCGTAGAGGGGGAGGGGGGGATTTAAGGTAAATAGGTGCAATGAGTCAGTTCGATTGAAAAATACGCACATTTTCATTTTATGTTTTCAAATTTGAGTGTATTTTTTGAAAAGATCTATACAGATATTTCTTCGAAGATGGTCTGAAAAAATACAATGGATAATCCTGTTACGAAGTTAGTTGTACATTTAGTTTCAAAATATAATTTTCAAATTAAATAGGGCTCTATATTAGGAACATAATTCAGGATTTGATTATCTTTTGGAAAGCCATGCATGGGGTCACTGGACGGGGGGGCTTAATAAAGGTGACCTGTTTTAAGGAAATTTGTGGTTAATGTATTCGGTACGGCTGCATTGACTAATATTTATGGCAGCTAATAACAAATCAGAAGTTGTTAAGGCCGACTCACGAATAAGATCAAATGAAAGTGACAGAAAGAATTAGAGCAGTTTGCAGTAGTTGTTTCTGCAAACCGGGCACCGTGCGAATTTTGCCATTTCACACAATTGTTGTGCTTCTTTTACCAAATCAAAAGAACAAACGCGTTCTCCAGGCCCATTTCCGTTTCTGAAATGCCCGATTCGCAGACAAAGAGTGCGTGCAAAGCAGGCTGGTCATTTCCCATTGTTTAACTGCCCCACACGCACCCCACACCCAAGTAACCACAAAGACTCAGATGTTGCTTCGCAACATCCACGAGTCAAAAACTATCAGAGGGAGAAATATGGCATATATATAGATTATTACATAGTACAATATTTCATGATCATTACATTTTTTCACATACTTTGTCAATCAATGAAATTTTATAGTGCACAATGGTACCTATAAAGCATGTTAATATGGTTTCACTGACATGGTTCATAGCGCAGTTACCCGTGATTGCCACAAACTTAGTGCTTGCATGCCTTAACAAAGATCTGTTTATTATTCATTAAATATACAGTCTGAGTAAAATCACTACATGTAACATGTGCTCTAGTTCCTTTTAATAATATAGGTGTAACATGTAGTAAAATGTGAAGAACTATAGTAAAATATATGATTTTAGTGAAACAGTGCATCTGATAGTCTAAGATGATGTAACATGAAGTAACATGTGGAGATTGAGATTTGTTCTAACCTATAATAGTTGCAAATGTGGATAAATTAGAGAAAGAGAAACCTTAAAAATAAATTAATCCTAACAGAATTTAAGACACAACCATACGAATAACGAGCAGAAAGGTCTTTTAGTTTATTTATTCCAAAACAACTCAAAAAATCGAGCAGTTATATATATATATGTATTCTATAAAATTAGCTTCCCATATCTTTTCCGCTTTATAGGTGCTTCGATAGAAAAATACCCACATTTTTGTTATATGTTTTCAAATTTGGGTGTATTTTTTTGAAAATTAAACGTCTACAGATATTTTTTCCAGGATTGGATCACGGCAAACAATTATTCTAAAAGTATATTAAATTTAACAAAAATTGTTCTTGTTTAACACGCTGATCAGTTGATGCCGCCTCCAGCGGTTCATATGTTTTTGTCAGTTTATATATTTATGAATCCAGGGCCGTCGCGAGCAGTCTACCTTTGGGGGAGGGGACATAAACATACCTCATTTTTCCTAGTTCGTATCTGACATTTCAATTAAACTTATCTGACATTAATTTACCTGAAATTTATTATTCACATGCCTCCCCCCCCTGCCCCCCCCCCTCCTCTCGGCGGCCATAATAATTGTTACTGTATCTTTAATCTCCACTGTTGAGACAATTATATGGAGTGAATAATGTCACTTGCGAATTTTCCTCTTAAAATCAAGCCCAGTCTGCATGTTTTTAGTCAAGAAGACAACGAAACAATTTATTCTGGGTTTTTAAAAAAATGTTGCTATATTATGAATAGTTTATATATACGGTATCTGGCTTCATACGATAAAGAATGAAGAATAAAAATTTTATGGTTCAATGGTTCAAAAATCGACCAAGATGGTACTCGATTGCAACCGATGATTAATTTATTATTTTGAGAGATTAGCTATACGCTATAACAATTGCCAATCCTATAGTGTATAGGCTAACCACATGTACGCAACGCGTAACTATTAATGTGTATCATAAGCATTGTTAAAGAATGAAATGTCCCCCTTAAATCCCAGAACGAGATATCTTTGTGGCGAAAAAACTCAGTACAAATTTAGGAGTAAAGGCGCAAAACTTTTTCCCAGGGCACAAAAGTGTGAAATTAGACAGTTTAAGGCAGATTAGACTATGAAAATTAACTAATCAAAAACAGTATGAAACACTTCCAGGGGCGCTAAGAATCTTCCCTGAAGTCTGACTTGATTCACTTTAAACCTGGTTAAAATACACTTGTATTATTTAATGCACGAGGTTCTCACGTTCTTTCTGATCATAGCGTGAAACCCCCAAACCCGATAAATAAATGAGAGATTAATTTATGAGAGATAAAAGAGAAATTATTCACTTACGTTGACCAGCTTAAGAGAACTGCACATGAAAGGAGCAAAAGTATTGCCGTATCCATCTTCAAAATGAAGTTTAACTCTGTTGCATTTGCTCGTCAACACTCCTTATATAAGCAGCTAAATGGATGCAAAATAATATCATTGACGGATATACTCAGTATGGTATAGATGACGGTATAATATTCTGTCAACATGGTAAGAGATGGGATAAGGTCAGGGTCAAACGTCAAGCTTTTCATGTGGCGAACCTAATGCAAATCAAATGAAACAAAGAACTTAGCTCATTAACATTAGGTTCGTTTGACCCTGGCCTCCACGTACATGCATGTACAATGAAAACATCCTGTATCGTATTGTTTTGGTATTGCAAATATTAGCTATTGCATGCACTAAACATATTATACAGACCTTATTACTGTAATAGTTATCACAAATATACGTTTTACGAATGGAGCTAGTTTACTTATGCAAAAACTCGCTTTGCAATACATCTAAGTCAATCGGGAAAGCGAAACAATTTTCTGGCACGTGACGTGACGACGTGCAAGCAGAAGAGTGATTTGTACTGATTTCAACACTGATTTCAAGATATTCTGAGTTACAGCAGTTTACGTACTAACATTTCGCTTCCTGATGTAGACTTTGGTGCAATTTAAAAACGAAATATTCATTTGTCGTAAATATATGAAATATCGTCTGAAATACGAAAAGAATTAAACAAGCTTGTTTTTGCAACGCCGCTTTTTAAGTCATTTTCAAGACTTCTGAGTTCGAAATAGTCTGATGTAAAGTGACTTCGATTCGTTTTTTTGGTTGAGTGTACGAGATTTCTCCCGTGGCGGCCCACTTCATGAAACTGGGAAAATTTAACAAAATTCCGCAACAAAATTACGCACCAAAAGTCACAGGACATGCCTTGGCATGCATATAGATTGTGATTAGATTATGAGCAGCTATTTATTCCATATTGCGCACGTAATGCAACCTTGTAGGTAATTTCATATCATTAACATTTTAAATAGTTATGAACATAGGCCTACATTTACATTTAGATTTTAGACTTTTTATTAGAGACAACACCTATATTATAATTATGATATGTAAACATATATATAGGTACATACATATATTTATAAATATATATATATTCAGCTTAAGATTTTGGTTTACGAAACACAAACAGTGCTCAATACCATAATATAGATAGAGCGTAATATAGTTTTTCGTTTTACCTCAAAAAACCACAACAGTCTGTTTCATCCGTATAGGAATCATGAAACAGACTGTTGTGGTTTTTTGAGGTAGAACGAAAAACTATATATATATTCATATATTTTAACTTTTGTAAATTCAATAGTAATTCAGGTCACAAGACTGCAAATATTGATTCAATTAAACGTTTTATCTATCTATCTGTCTAAACATGAACGAAATCTTATATACGTGTAGTGTAAATCGGCTTTAATTAAATGTCTCTAGGCCAAGCCTGGAAGATTCTATACGTGACTATACTACGTCAATGCGGAGTTGTGAACAGCACGCGCAATTTCCTTTTGTAACAATTAATGCGCGCTTTCCAAATATAGCCGCACATCAATTCCACTTTGGAGGAGTCGTTTTACCCAGCTGTTTAAGTTAGTTACTGTTTCCTCCCAAATCGTTTAAAATATTTACTGGACAGTGTTAAATGTTTACCACTCATATAATACATAATAAATTGTAGAATTCAGAATTGCTTGCAATTATAGCTTTTAGGAACATCTACGCAACGGCATGCACTGTGGGGCGCCTTCAATAATTATAAACAGATCTATAGGGCAATGATATCACAGACATAATATTATGGGAAACATCGAACAAATTATATTAGTCTAGGACCTGTATATGAGTTTGTATGCATTTCATTTAGGACAGATAATCTCAACTGTTTTAGGGTAAGTTGACCATGACGGTCAACATGGTAACGCTGCCCGAACCCCAATCCGGGGCGAAACGTCCGAAACTGACCACACCCAAAAACGACGCTTTCGCCATACTGCTATCTACCAAACCATAAAAGCTTTGGCTATTCTGAGGTGCTTATATGGTTCAGAGATGGTACTTTTGGGGGTGGTCATTGGTAAGTGTGAAATGCCAAGCACTAATATTTCACAAGAAAATGGCCATGCAATAATCATAGTTAAACGTCAATTTGTGGCTTGCAAATTCAGATAAACAGCAGTGGACTTACATTACCTTTTTCCCTAAATCTTTTTGATAGAAACATAAATGGTACTTATTTAAATATATTATCACTGGTTTGGTGTAAAATAGTTAATATTTTCTGACCGAAATAATAATTTGAAATGTGCCTACCTCCTGCAAATGGACGTATTTGGCCAAGTTCTCCACTTTACTCCGCTGTTTATCGGCGATCTCGTCGACATCCTACAAAAAATGTAAATCATCTCAGACATAATGGTATCAAGAACATTTTAAACAAGTTTCAACTTGGTTTCAAGTAGATCATACCTGTTTAACCATCGACAAGGTAAATCCACAACTTTGTCCAAATTCGGCGCCATTTTGTCATCCCATGTCGCTTGTTAGCAATTCAGCCTTGTTACTCTTCCATCCAAGCCATTTCCATTCCACTAATAATAAATTTAACCCTTTATAACAGGAGGAAACTAAAAAATCTAAACAAAATATAAGAAATACGCCATTTTATCACCATGTAAAATTTTGCTCACGAGTCTTTCAAAACATTCCGTACAAATATCGCGTGACAAAGTAACAGGGACGTGACAGGAGGGGGTGAATTATTTCACGAAGATAGAAGAAGGCTGCGTGAAATAGACTAAAAGCTAAATACAATCATACAAATGTTTGTTTTATTTCTTGTAGCGACAAATATATACATATTATTATTTATTAATATGAAAAAGTCATACAAATTAAATGTTGATTGTTGGTTTTACCATACTGTGTGGGCTTTCCTTTCATTTTTCAAGTCTCTACCCCCCCTGTCACGTCCCTGTTGCTAAACCACGCGAGATTTGTACGGAATGTTTTGAAAGACTCGTGAGCAAAATTTTACATGGTGATAAAATGGCGTATTTCTTATATTTTGTTTAGATTTTTAGTTTCCTCCTGTTATAAAGGGTTAAATTTATTATTAGTGGAATGGAAATGGCTTGGATGGAAGAGTAACAAGGCTGAATTGTTAACAAGCGACATGGGATGACAAAATGGCGCCGAATTTGGACAAAGTTGTGGATTTACCTTGTCGATGGTTAAACAGGTATGATCTACTTGAAACCAAGTTGAAACTTGTTTAAAATGTTCTTGATACCATTATGTCTGAGATGATTTACATTTTTTGTAGGATGTCGACGAGATCGCCGATAAACAGCGGAGTAAAGTGGAGAACTTGGCCAAATACGTCCATTTGCAGGAGGTAGGCACATTTCGAATTATTATTTATAATATATTTAAATAAGTACCATTTATATGTTTCTATAAAAAAGATTTAGGGAAAAAGGTAATGTAAGTCCACTGCTGTTTATCTGAATTTGGAAGCCACAAATTGACGTTTAACTATGATTATTGCATGGCCATTTTTTTGTGAAATATTAGTGCTAGGCATTTCACACTTACCAATGACCACCCCCAAAATTACCATCTCTGAACCATATAAGCACCTCAGAATAGCCAAAGCTTTTATGGTTTGGTAGATAGCAGTATGGCGAAAGCGTCGTTTTTGGGTGTGGTCAGTTTCGGACGTTTCGCCCCGGATTGGGGTTCGGGCAGCGTTACCATGTTGACCGTCATGGTCAACTTACCCTAAAACAGTTGAGATTATCTGTCCTAAATGAAATGCATACAAACTCATATACAGGTCCTAGACTATATCCAGAAAACCACATTTGGCTTGATAAAGACATTTCGTGAGTTACTGATAACGCCTACTAGCACAAAAACATCGTTGTGACATACATACTATCGATGCACTGGGCATTCTGGACCCCACGGTGGGTGCCCTACGCCGAATACTAGCTGTAAGCAAATAAAACCAGCGTT